AAACAAATCTAAAATTAAATATTTTACTTAGAAAATATATAGCTAAAATTAATATATAAGTTTTTATTAAAAAAAATTAAACTTTTTAATAAAAACACAGGCAAATTTGCCTGTGTTACAATTTAAGGGATAGTGCTTGTCGTTTAGAGATAGTTCTTATACACTATCTGCCAACAAGTTAAGAGTTTATCACTTACTTTCTGAAATGCAACTTAGTATAAAATTTTACAAGTCTAAAAGATTCATACAAAGCCTAATAAAGTTAAGCCATAACTGCCGAATTTATAAAAAAAAAAAAAAACTATTAAAAAAATCATTTATTTGGTTTTTATTATTTCTTGAAATAAATAGTTTATATTTTTTAATTGTTTTTCGAGTTTTTATAATTTTTTAAAAAATTTATATAATAGTACTTTTTTTTTAACAATAAGTACTTGGGTTTTGTTTATATTGAGATAATAGTTTTAAACTTTAAATTGATAGATTTTGTAGTAATACATTTATTTATATTAATAATTTTATATAGTATTAATAAATAATTATATCAAAAATAGTTTTATATAAATTTGTTTGTAAATAATTTCAATTAACCATTTTAATTAACTATTTCAATTAACCAATAATATTTTTGCAATATCATGGGATGATTTATAAAAATAAGCTAATTATAATAAAAGCCCACTATGCTAGAAAGACCTGCAGAAAAAAGTTAAAAATAAACAAACTAATTACTATAAATAAAAATAATTTGTATAAAAAAGATCAAAAATAAGCAAACTAAAACTAACCTATCTATATATATTTTAGAAGTCCTCTTGGCATTTATTTGATTAAATTTAATTGATGATCTGCTAGTAAATTAGAGAATTTTTTATATTAAATATGATGCAGATCACATATAAGCAAGGTTTGAGTTGAAACTTTTGAGCTATAAGTAAAGTTATAAAATTTTCAAACAAATATAGTACTAAAGTAGTACAAATATTAGAGCAAAACCTTAAGTTTCTAATTAATCTTTTTTTAAAAAAACTTTACTTTGTATGCATGTGGTATTTACTATAGTACACTCTATATTAATTAAATTATAAAATAATTAATAGTATATTGCTTTTAGCTTATTTTACAATAAATTTATGATTTTTTTTATTCTTAAGCTTTATTATGCTTTAAGAACAAACCAATACTATCTATATTATACTATACAAGTATAAGATTTTAAATTTTTTCAAGAATATATAAAGAATTATAATAAATGAAATTTAAATAAATTTTTAAATATTTATATTGTTTATATATTTTTTATCTTCAACAAAAAACAAAAAATAACAAGTAATGATAATATTAAATAATCACAATTCTTTCTGATAATTATTTGCACCAAAATTTTCTACTAAAAGAAAAATACAGTTTTGTTGGAAAGTCGTGGCCTAATATAGTGGTTTGTCTAAAGGTTAATATTTTCTATGTGTGGAACTTCTCTATAACTGACATTCAGTATGCAAGCCAAGAGTGTTATTATACAAAATAACTGGCAGAAGGTGGTATCTTTGTATGAAAAACTTGATAGAGAGATGAATACTAAAAGAGCCACCAGTCTTTTTTGTCGACAAAGCTCTTAGATTGTTACTTCAAAAAAAAATAGAGGAAAAACAACAAATATTGTTTTTTTCAAGCTACATTTCTTTTTCTTGGTCAAGTAGTTCTTTTTTTTACCTATTCTCACCTTCTCATTGGTTTTCCAAAAAATTTTAACAAAAAGTAAAGATTTGATTTACCTCTTCCAAAAGGTCAGTATTGTTTATATTCCAATTTGGAATAGCATAGTAGATTGCAACTACATGTTTGATAGATATAGTGTTACTATTTAGAATTGGGCCCCAGATAACAAACTTCTAGTGATGGCAGCAAGTGGCTTGAAATATGAGTCTATAGATAGTAGTAGCACCTAGCTTGAAATACAGATTAGGACATATTAAATGAAACTATCTGGAGTTAGTTGGAAGGAAAATTGAATGATAAGGCAAAGCTTTACAAAAGAGATATACAACTATTGTAGTTGTTATATAATTTTTTAGTAACTATATATGAGTTATAATAGTGTCTTTAGAATTTTAGATTTTTTCATTTTTTTTCATTTTTTGGTTGTTTTTGTAAACTCTTTTTGTTAAAATTTTTTTTTTTGTCTCATATCTCTTAAGAAGAAAGAAAAATTAAAAGAGAAAAGGAAATTCTAACATAGTGTACAACAATCTGTCAATAATCTTTAGAGATATTGTATGTACAATACAAAATTTGAAGCAAGTTTTGAATCCTGAAAGAGACTAATAGTTGTTATAGCAGGTCACATTGGGTACTATGCTTGTTAAGTCTTTATTAGATTAGAACATTAAGTGAAAAATAATATTTAATTGCCTGTTTGTATATATATCTTTATAGTTCACATGAATAAAAACAAGAACATGTATAAAAAAAAAAAAAAAAAAGAAACAAAAAATAATTAGAAATAAATAAATGCTTTTATTTTAATGAAAATATATCTTACCAATGAATAGGTAGTTTAATTTTTTAAAACAGAATTTTTCATCTTTGACAAGAAATGAAAAATAATTAGAAATGAATTGTTCAAACAAGTAAAATCATTTTCTATTACTATTAACCTGAAGCTTAGTATAATTTTGGCCAATAAAAATTATTTCATGTAATTAAAAATCTACATTTCAAATTTTGAACTAATCTACATTCTTTGATGATTATAGATAACATGAATTATAAAAAATTTTTTATATTGTTCTTAAATCTAAAAAATCAAATTAATATTATACTTTTGATCAAATATACTCTATATTTTTTATTAAACTCTTAAAAAAATATCTTACCAAAATCTTTACAATATACTGTATCTTGATTATATAATTACCAAAAATCATTTATTAAGCAATTTAAACCAATATTTTGCTATTCTAAAATATTCAAAGTAGAAAGAAAAAATTGAAAAAAAAGGTCTAAAATATTCTGGAATGTGGTTTAATTGGCAAAATTCCGGGTTTAATGCAGTATTGATATATCAAAAACGTAATTTTGCAATTTCTGTCTGTCGCCATTGCATATTTATATCGCGTGATTGGAAACCGATTGGCTGATGTAAATGCTCCGGGTTTCTGATTTTTAGTTATGCATGCCAATAGCATGGCATGCATGAACTTTGGCTAATGGCATGCCAAATTGTTTTGCCGCGCCACTCATCTTACAATTGGTATAATTTTGTGGAAATTGAAAATCAACAAGTAAATAAATAAATAGAATAAAAAAGAAATCACTCGGTTATTAAACATTTCCGATTTTTTAAAACTACTCCGACTGATATCAAATATCTTAGGAAATCAAAAATCGCTTACCAATTTTTTTTTGAGATCCACAAATTTTACAAAATTATGCAAACCCGATACCGATACTGTTAAATTTAGTAGTGTAGATCCAAATAAAGACTTGATTTTTTGCATCCTGCATTATTATATATTTGCATTACCGTTACAACAATTACGGCGGTTACAAGTTATATGCATAATAATAACAAACCAAATTGCAAAACCTTATAAACAATATAAACCGAAAATCCAAATAATTCAAACAAAGGTTGTATATGATTAAAGTTTTGACAAAACAAATTTCAAGGAAAGTGAATAATGTAATAAGAAATTCTAATATGTGAGTGCGTGAGAATGAAAACCAGGAAATAAAAGTTAACCAATCATAAATTTTATTTCCTGATTTTCACTCTCACGCACACATATATAATTTCTTAGCATAATTCGAAATTCCTAGTATACCAAAAATAAAAGAAAAAGATTTCGATATCAATTACTGTATACTGGACTGATTTTTTACTCTAAAAGTTTTTAGCATTTTATATTCTTCTTTTCTAACCTTGGCATTATATTAACGATTTAATTAGACGATTATTGAAAGTTTAGAAAAAATTTAATTATTATAAAATAAATAAAGTTGTGATTACGTATTATTTTTTTTTTTTTGAGCTTTGAATTTAGTCATAAAAATCCCAAAATCAATTAAAAGCGTGCTTAAAATGGAAGCTAAAATATAATAATTATGTCCTATCGGGATTTTTGAACAATTTTGGTGGGATTTTGACAATTTTGGTTATCGGTTAATAAAAGAAATATTACAAAAATTTATTACAAATACAAATACTTATACATACGTATGTACTCATTTAAGTGCGGTAATTACAAGTTTGAGAATATCAGGACTTTGTTAAATTTTGTCAGCTTTGCTAATAATAATAATAGAGTATTCTAATCGCTAATTATTAGTAATCACTAACACTTCCATAAGTACCAGATTAGTGGACACTCAATGAATAACTTCGGAAAATATTACCATACGAATATACTATTTGTTTTCATTGCTATTTCCATCACGTGAGAAAATGTAACGCTATATTCTAAATACGGTTCGTTTCGGCCGGACTGAAATTAACCATTGACATAATATATCTATATTGAATACTTTTCAATTTCTTCGCAGTATTAACAGCGGCACGGATTTTGACGCTGACAACTACGGCATGCGTACAACGAAGTTGCTAGTACGTTCCCGTGCTCTCTATGCCAATTATGAATAACAAGAAATTATTTAACCAATTAAAAAATTTAACATTACTATAGAAAACCTGCGGGGAGTTCTGGATTTCTGAGTTTTTTCTGGGCACAAAACTTTTAATATTGTGCGTCACTTCGATTCAATACTGCGTTATGATTTAATTGGATGTGATTAAATTACATCACTAAAAGACAAAAAGAAAAAAAAATATAAATACGGCAATTTAACTTGATCGAAGAAATTTTCACGGCAAATGCGTCTTGAATTAAGTTAATTTTTTTTTTTTCGCACTCAAAAAAAAAAAAATAATAATAAATAAACATGACATTTTCTCTACAAAATTACAACGAAATGACACCTCGAACAGTCATTCTCTCTCGTCCATTTATTAAAGTTCCATCCCCTTTCGAATTTAACATTTCCGAATTTTTACCGAGAAAAAGTATTGGATGCAAAACATCCAATGCTTTTATGATTTATCGAAAAGTTTACGTTAAGACGTTATTACGATTAAAGCTTCATTCCAAGATGACGAATGCATCCTGTTGGGCGGCAGATTCTTGGAAAGAAGAATCAACCGAAGTAAAAAACGATTTTAAAAAATTTGCAAAAAAATTAAAAGAAATTTATCGGAATAAATCTAAAGAAGTCGAAACTCGAAAATCAAGAATAGCACAATTTACAAAAGAAATTACAAACGAAGACTTAATAAACAATAATGAGATAAATTTAATGTCAAATGAGTTAATGCCTTTGGAAAATCCTATTTATTCGAATGAATATGAATATGTTGATATGAATCAAGTAACCACAAACGATCA